TGTGTGTGTGTGTGTGTGTGTGTGTGTGTGAATCAACGAAACTAAGGAATTTAGATAAAGGAGTTTGCGCGATAAGAGTACCATGGAATACGTGCTGAAATAGTGACACTGAGATTCTCGATACATGCACGCTATGTACAGATCTTTTTTTTGATCCACATTGAGCAAAAAATCCATGAACGAGTAAAACACGATCGAACTTCTCATCGTGTCTGAAGATTAAGTGAACGCGCTTCGAGGCTTCGAGGCTTTCGAGGAATTTTTCATTTACGATAATTATATATAGGAATGTGATCGTAAATTATTGCTATCGTTATCGTCGTCGCCGTTCTTGCGAAGCAAATAGCGTGTTTGTACAATTGTGCGTCAACCTCATTGCAAATTACGGAGTGATGCTTAAAAAATTGTAGTCACGGAGACTTTTGTACAGGTGTACTCGATCTTTCAACGTGTTCGAGTGTTGCAGAGAACAAATGTTAAAAATCTTACTCGGGATTTGCTCAGATTCGTTCAACGTAATGGACAATTAAATGTTCGCTCGTTGAAATTAACGACCTTTGAACTCGATATTTCTTTTCAATATCGTTGCGCGGCCATTTACGTATTTATTTTAAGGTAAACTAGATAAATTAATGTACAAAATTAAATGTCCTTTAATTTATTGTTATTACCATATAATTTATTTTCTATAATTTCTAAAAAAAAAATACAGCGTGATAATCTTTGAAACAATTCCCAAATTTTTGTCGTCACGATTTCCAATATTATTGGAAATACTTACGACATCGAAACGCGAAAGATAACTTATTAACTCGTTGTTTAATAGAGAACTAGAAATCAAAAGGTTATTAGTCAAAGATAAATACAAGTTGAATCAACTTTGAATTTTAATTTTCGAATTTGGTCAAAAATTTTGAAGTTTGCGAAGACGACTTGACGATTCAAACCATTTCTCTATCCTTACTCACTCCGTAATTTAACGAATGATAAGAATTCAGTACGATAACGAGTTCGACTGATTACTGGCACAATTTCACGGTGAAACGTAGAAAAATTATCACCGACAATATTCCGATAATTTTTAATTCTCCGGCCATCGCGACGTGTCTGTTCGATGCGTTATTTTGCATATATTAAACATTACAAAGCGAGACGGTCAGAAAAGACGTCAACGATGATTCTAAGAACGAAATTTCTCACTCGTTTATGGAAAATTACCATTGATTCATTGCGAATGAATTCTTCCGATTGAGGATAAGGACAAGGATAATTCGTTTCTACATCTACTGCAGTACTAAACAGTAGAACTATCGGCGACTGAAGTATAAAATTTATAGCAAAGAAAAAAGAACACAAGTTTATGTATCTTTTTACTAGAAATCATTCGAGTCACTAAAAATACGCTATTAGAAATATATAAAATTTCGAAAAATTCTAAATCAATTCATTCTGACCGTTTTGGCCATTTTCTACTGTCAATCACGACGAGTGTATTGAAACTCGATATATCCGACTACTGAGTGCAAAACACCATTTCGTAACATCATTTCTGAATTTTCATCGACAGATAAGCCAAGCAATCGGTCGAAATGCCTCTACTTATAATCGACTTTTCACTTTTGCTTTCAATCACGATCGTACATTGCAAGACTCGCGCACGGCGCGACATTTCTCCTCACTATGCGTGATTGCTGAAGATAGCCGAAGATAAGATATACATTTAACAATAATGTATATCTTACGCACAAATCGCGAACCAAGCAAACTTGGCATTTTTCGCCCCGGTTCACGCGAAATAAAAGGTAGATTTCAAACAAATACGCACATCACGCCAATCACACGAAATCTGCGAGAAAATTTCACTCGAGACAGGAAATATTTAGATAATCTTGGCTAGATGGAACTTGGCCTATATATAT